TCCTTATTCATTCTACTTGGAATTTATTTGGAATTTGTAAACTTATTTATAGGCTTATTTGTAGGCTTATTTCTTTTTTTTTTTCCTTTTGGGTCACACCCAGCGATGCTCAGGGGTTACTCCTGGCTCTGCACTCAAGAATTACTCCTGGTGGTGCTTGGGGGACCATATGGGATGCTGGGAATAGAACCTAGGTCGGCCGCGTGCAAGGCAAGCTCCCTACCCGCTGTGCTATCACTCCAGCCCCTGTAGGCTTATTTCTTCAGCCAAATTTGAGAATATTTCAGCCACTATAAGAAAACTGTTAACTGCTATTGTTTTACTTCTGAGAATCCAATTGTTAGATATTTTACTACTGTCCCAGGAAACATTACTGGCGCCTGCTCGAGCAAATCGACAATTAACGGAAAGTCAAATGATCAAGTGATCAAGTGTCCCAGAAGACCACAGAGTTTTTTAAAAAGTATTTTTGAAGTATTTTAAGTATCTTTAAAGTATTTTTCTCTGTTGTTTAATGAAGCAAATTCTATAGATGAACATTTCCACTTTTTTAGTTTTTCCTCTTATTTTCATTCTATTATTGAGCCTATTCTATGAATTGCTGTAAAGTTTTTAGCTAGCCTTACAATTTCTATTTTTAATATATAGTAGCACCCTCACCCCACCACTACAGCCATGTCAAGGGCTCAACTCCACTGCCTCATTATTGGAAAACACTGGGTTGTCCTTGCTCCTCCCACAGGGAGCTTAAGGTTTACTGAGCCACTCCCACAACAGTGCAACCGAGGCACACCCAATTCTATAAAGCACTAATAATCCTATTTTGCTTTTTTCTTTTCTTTAAGTCATTTGCATGGTTTATTTAGCAATGTCCTTTTTGTTTAGACACAGAAAGTCAGTTCATGCTATCTTTGTAACATGAGAGTTAATTGACTCCAAAATAATGTTTACTCGTGGGCATCCATATTTACTTGACTTAAGCTTCAGTTGCCTTTAGTTCTAGCACGCTAAAAAGAAGGGTCCCGACGTGTGTATTCAAAAAATGAATATGAAACTGCAGGCTGCATTCATTTGTCTCAGGTCGCTTCCCCCACCCAGGACATTCAATGTCAATAGGTGGACAAAGGAGGAAACGAGGGCCAGGCTGCTTGATGATCAGTTGCAGTTTATTCCAATCTTGTCTCAATTCTCCTGATTCTCCTCCATCCTCCTCCTATTCTCCTCCATCGTCCTCAATTCTCCTCTTCCTGGTTCGCCTTGATTCTCCTCCCTCTGCCTGCTCTTACTGTCTTAATTATATCCCCAAATGATGAACTATTGGGGTAGCAATTACACATAGGTGTGGTCATACAATTAATACATGTAAAGTCCTTCCCTCAGGGAAGCTTCCCTTAGGACAAATTCTCATCCAATAAGATGTCCCACCTAAGGGCAAAATACCATCTAGGGGTGGTTTCTCCTTTCCTTAGTCCAATAACCATTTAAACATTCATCTTAATTCTACTTCTTAATAATATTAGTCATCTTGTATGGACATAGCAAGAGATACACTAAGCTTGTAGGGTGGCTCTCCCGGGGACATCTCGTTATAGATCTCAGACTACAGTGCTCAGGCAAGATTAGCCTTTCCTAACCTTAGCAAGGTTCTAATCCAGTTGTTACCCTTTGGATCATGACAGAATTTGTTCACGACCATGCTCTTAACTTACAGTTAAGTATTATGGCACTTGGCCTGGCCCATTTCAATGCCAGGGTAGCTCACAGCTTGCCCTGGGTCCATCTAGTCCCTCGTCGGAAACTTGCTTTTGGGGTGTTAGGAACTAAGGGAAATTGAGACTTTAGTCGAGAAAGCAGATGCCTAGGAGTGAATATTATTTGGAGTCAATTAACTCCCAAGTCACAAAAGCATAGCATTAACTGTCTTCCTGTCTCTATTCAAAAAGGACATTGCCCTAAAGTAACTATGCAAAGAACATAAGGAGAAGAGAAAATGAATATATCACTTACAAATACAAATCCAGTGTCAGAGAAGCTGACCTTAAAAGTCAACAGAGTTTGATAAAAGTGATTGTTCCGTTGGGGAAGCAGAGCACAGAGAAGAGGTTACAGATAAACACAGAGGAATGGGAATGCCTCTGGAGTACTGTGATGGGTGTAACCCAATAAACCTAAGCTCCCTGTGGCAAGGGAGAAAGGACAAACCAATGTTAAACCTAAAATGTTTAGGGACTGGAGCAATAGCACAGCAGGTAAGGCATTTGCCTTCCACGTGGCCTACTCAGGTTCAATTCCCAGCATTCTATATGGCCTGCTGAGCACCGCCAGGAGTAATTCCTGAGTGCATGAGGCAGGAGTAATCTCTGTGCATTGCCATGTGTGGCCCAAAAAGAAAAAAAAAAAAGAACTGCTTAGAGCTATATTTCAATAAACACAGGGGAATGGGAGTGTCTCACAGCAGCACTGTGATGGGTATAACCCAATAAACCTAAGCTCCCTGCAACCAGGACAAACCAATGTTATTCTACATGTGGGAATGGATTCCTACTGACCAGTGTCTTGAGAACTGTGGACTCAGGCTGAAGTGAGGAATTCCTCTTTGAAGGAAAGATAAGTCAGTTAGTGTGTGTGTGTGTGGGGGGGGGGGGGGGGAGCAATTCATATGTTCAGAAGCATGGGTATGTGCACGGATGGCCCATGTGCTTGGGCAGCTCATATGTGCTGGCTACACATGTGCTCAGGCAGCACATAGGGACCCTTTCTTTGATCATGGGGATCCTTTATGGACTTTATAAACATTTTTCCCAAACGCTTTCCCACAGTCTGTTATTAGGGCGGTTGCCAAGGGAGTTTGGGGCAGCAGATAGTCTTTTGATACTCTCCACCAGGCTTTGTTGCAGTGCTGGGGCCTTTCCTGCCAAGGGGTCCACCCTCTCCTCCTCCCAGGAAACTTCCTGCACTTGGCCCAGAATTCTGTATATAAATGGCTTTGTGGGCTCCTGAGATGGGCCCTTTGTGTCAAAGGCCTCCATACCTTCAGTCTTATTCAGATTTCACATCTTCCCACAAAACACACATTACACCATGACCTGCAATCATCCTGCCTGCTACGCTCTCATCTAAGGCACCACATGGTCTCATGAGTCCCACAAAATGTGACCCCAAAGCCAAGCAAAACAAAAATACAAAATTCAAGACTAAACTACAGCAACAAGCTTACTTTCATAGAGGCATGGCAACATATAATTACATTATAGCAGCACATGACTGTCAGAGACTCATGTATATGGTAATTGAATGTATAGATGAATTTGCATATGTACCTTTATAAATGCACATCTATATGATTTATATATACTGTATAAATGAGCATATGTACATGATACTTGAATTAGAAGCGGTGACAGCTCAAACAATGGGGGAGGGAATAAAATATTCAATATACTCTTCAGTATAATGTATCTTTCATGGGAAGCACAAAATTTCATCTCTCTCACACCATAATACTCTCAGGAATTAATTCTACCTAGGAGAGATAGCTCAACTGACTGGAGTGCATGCTTTGTGTTGAAGGAGATACCCAGTACTATCCCCAGCATCACGTACTACCCAAGCACCCCTAGGAATAACCCTGAGCCGAGAGCTGGGAGTACCACCTGAGCATCACTAGGTGTGGTTCAAACAAAAAAAAAAAATTCAGGGCCAGAGTGATAGTACAGCAGGGAGGGTGCTTGCCTTGCACATGGCCGACCTGGGTCCAATCCCCAGCATCCCATATACTCCCCCAAGCCAGGAGTAGCCCCTGAGTATCATGAAGCGTGGCCCAAAAAACAAACAAACATACAAACAAAGCTGTGAACTCTCTCCACTTAAAAAAAAAATTCTGGCTAAACGAAAACGTTCAAAATAAACAATAAAGTCATAAAGATGTAAAAAAAAGTGAAAGCAGACATGAACTGTAATCTTAGGATGAAATGTTTTCTAATTTTGAAACCAGTTCAAAAATACAGTCAAAGAAATTGTGTTTCATTCTTCATCTAACTGAAGACAGAGAATGAGCTGCTGAATAAGGCACATCTTAGAGAAAGGGATGTGGCTTAGCTGTAGAGCCCTTGCCACACATGTGAGAGGCGCTGGTTCAATTTCTTGATTCTTTCAAGTGATGAACAAGAGACTAGGGAAGGTCATAATAGAACAGGAAAGAATTCACACTGTCTGGTGAAAATAAAAGACTAAGACCGACCGTGATATTGCTTTTCAATTCAATGAATCCACTCACTACTTTTCCTCAGGTAACTAAGAGAATGTTGTCACCTATATTGTGTGCATAGAGTCTTCATATTTCAGTCCTCCTTCTATGGTACTTTATCTTTGATTTTATGGGACCTGAGTTCTGTAAACATGTCGTGAAAATATCTTTATTGAAAAAACTTTATTGGTGTTACATCGGCAAGACACCGGTTTATTACTTGGTTTTGATCTATGTTTTTAATTAAAACTTAGTGTTACTCTGTTGTCTTACCCAGTTATCTACCACTCTTGGCTGGCTGCTTATTCTGGAACACAACTAAGAGTAATTCAAACAAGTAAGGATTTTTTTTTTCTCTCCCCCACACAACAAGAAATTTGGAGGTGGGAAATACTGATGTCCAAGTTTAGGTCGAGGTCAGAAAGAGGGCTACAAGATGGGGCCAGAGCAATAGCACACTGGACAGGGCATTTGCCTTGCATGCAGCCAAGTTGGGTTTGATCCCTGGTATCCCATATGGTCCCTTGAGCACTACCAGGAGTTCCCTGAGTGCAGAGCCAGTAACCCCTGGGTGTGAACCAAAGAGCCAGAAAAAAAAAAAGGGCTCCCAGACCTGAGAGCAGCTTTACATGAGGGAGGTCTGGGCCTGGTTCCCACACCCCACCTGCAGCACAGGTAAGAGCATCTCTTCACAAGCACTTACCTAAAGTAGCCCTTGTATACAGCTAGGTGTGGCCCCAAACAAAAGTGAACTGTACTTACCTGGCAGGGAAGATACCATGACCATGACAGTGGTTTGCCAGGGTGAGGCTTATCCTTTGCACTCCAAATGTCCTGATCACTGCAATTTCCCAAAATGTGGGAAACTCAACAGCACAATTTGTGGTAGTAAGGGGACTGCATTTCCACTCTCCTCTGGAAGGAAAAAAAATCCAATATTTAGGACAATGCCAGACATAATCTAGTGCATATTTGTTCCTGTTCCTCTCAGTCCACCAATAATCATAACATAAATGTCTACAAATGTCTGGAGGCATTCCCCCCTGACCTGGACAAAAACCTTTAAGGAGTTTATTATTGTGGGAACTTGACGGGGGTGGGTGGATTTGGGCCAGTCAGCAGTGCTTAGTGGCTATTCCTTGCTCTGTGGTGGGGAGTAATCCCTGGTGTTGCTCAGAGAACCATATGTGGTACAGAAGATTGAATCGGGGTCCAACTCATGCAAGGCAAGTGCCTTAACACCTTTATTCTCTCCTTCCCTAAAGCCTGGGAAGAGAAAAGAAAAAAAAAGTCAGTCCTAAATTGTCATTATCTAAGTCAGTGGGTTCTTTTTTCTTTGTTTTGCTTTGCTGAATTGGGGGTGGAGAGGAGAGTTATTTGGAGAGTGTGTGTGTGTGTTTTTTAAGGGTTGTTTGTTCAAAAAGGAAAGTTTGCTCTTCCTGTTCATCCCCAGTGCTGTGCCTGGTCTTCTTCCTCCCCCAGGTCAATCAAACCCGGGACTTGGTTTTCTCCGCGTACGCCCCCCAGGGATCCTTTAGGACCCTGGGACTCTCACCATCCCTGAGCCTCTTCCTGTTCGTCCCCAACGCTGTGCCGGGTCTTCTTCCTCCTCTAGGTTTTACCCCACACACACACCAGGTATACCCATAGAGTATATGGCCTCTTCAGAAGTGGGCGTGGATTCTGTAGAAGTGAGTGTGGCCTAATTTTGGGTCAGAGGTAATTTCCGCATACCCAGCAATCTCATGTAACATCTCAGTCTCCATACCTCCACACCAACATGAACAAACAACGCAAATCCTCATCACGAGGGGAGGACGATAAAAAGAGTCCAAAAGCCTCAATAGGTTCTACTCACCTAAGGGACCTCTCTGAGAGAAAGAATTCAAATATGAAGTAATGAAGACGTTCAATGAACTCAATGAAACAGTGAGACAGATATTCAGTAAATTAAAGGAGGAAATGAGAGAAACAATTGAGAAAATACAGGAAGAAATGAGAGCAGAAATAGGAAAGCTAAGCACAGAACTGTCATGAATAAAAGATTCGGTAGATGAAATAGAAAACTCAGTCTGTGCCCTCAACAGTAGAATGGCCACAGCTGAAGACGGAATCAGTGAGCTGGAAGATCAGCTGCATGCAGCCTACAGGCAACAACAAACAATGGTATGAGACCTCAAAATAGCTCTAGAGCAAATCAGAATCCTCGGAGATGATTCCAACAGGAACAGCATTAGAATCATAGGAGTGCCAAGGTCAGGGAAACAATCCCAGTGAAAAAGCCACGGTTAAACAATTCATTGCTGAAAAGTTCCCAGAGCTGGACAATGCAGCCATTCAGATTCAAGGAGCCCAAAGGGTTCCAGCTAAAAGAGACCCTAACAAAAACACTCCAAGACATATCATAGTTAGAATGATGGACGAATAGAGACATAATACTGCAAGTATTAAGGTAAAATAAGGAAATCACATACAAAGAAGCACTCCTTAGATTCACAACACACCAATCAGAGGAAACCCTCCAAGCTCGAAAGCAATGGTGGGATGCAGTGAAAAAACTCACTGAAATGAACACTTCACCAAGAATACTCTATCCGGCTAAACTCTCACTCAAACTCAAAGGAACGGTACACTTTTTTGTGGATAAACAGCAGCTCAGGAACTTCATAGACTCAAAACCAAACCTAAAAGAAGGGATAAAGGGGCTACTATAAGACAAGACAAACCCTACAAGCACAACAGAACCTTACAGAAAGATGACACAAAACCCCATAACAATAATCTCTCTCAACGTCAACGATCTAAATTCACCAATTAGGAGACACAGAGTGGCAAAATGGATTCAGAGACAGAACCCAACATTCTGCTGCCTACAAGAAACTCATCTCAATAGTCAGAGCAAACACAGACTCAAAGTTAAAGGATGGAAAACAATCCTGCAAGCAAACAGCTCCCTCAAAAAAGCCGGGGTGGTTATACTAGTATCCGACAATGTAAATTTCAGGTTGAAAAAAGATTAGAAGGGAAAAACTGAGAGCTTTCCTCTAAGGGACGAGACAAGGATGCCCACTCTCTCTACTAGTGTTCAATATAGTACTGGAAGTACTTGCAATGGTGGTTAGGCAAGAAAAAGATATTAAGGGCATTCATGTAGAAAAAGAAGAAATCAAGCTCTCACTATTCGCAGATGATATGACTCTATACTTAGAGAAACCTATAACCTCCACCAAGAAACTCCTAGAAACAGTAGACTTGTATAGTAAAGTTGCAGGCTATAAAATCAATACCCAAAAGTCCATGGCTTTCCTATACACAAATAGTGAGAGAGAAGAAAATGAGATGAAAAAAGCAATCCCATTCACAGCCGTGCCTCAGAAAATCAAGTACCTAGGAATAAGCTTGACTAAGGAAGTTAAAGACCTGTACAAAGAAAACTACAAAATCCTACCTTAAGAAATAAAGGAGGTCACGAGAAAATGGAAAGATATCCCCTGCTCATGGATCGGGAGAATTAACATTGTCAAACTGGCAATACTCCTCAAAGCATTGTACAAATTCTATGCGATCCCTATAACGATACCCATGACATTGTTCAAAGAAATGGAGCAACACTCCTGAAATTCATATGGAACAATAAGCCCCCACGATTAGTTAAAGCAATTCTTGGGAAAAAAGAAAATGGGAGGAATCAACCTCCCTAACATCAAACTCTACTACATAGCAGAAATAATTAAAACAGCATGGTACTGGAACAAAGGCAGAGCTGCAGACCAATGGAACAGGGTTGAATATACTGACATCTCCCCCCAAACATATGATCATCTAATCTTTGACAAGGGAGCACGAAATGTGAAGTGGAGCAAGGAAAGCCTCTTTAACAAATTGTGCTGGCAAAACTGGACAACTACATGCAAAATAATGGGCTCAGATCTCTGCCTAACACCATGTACAAAAGTAAGAACAAAATAGATTAAAGACCTCAACATCAGACCGGAATCCATGAGGTACATTGAAGACAAAGTTGGCAAAGCCCTCCACAACATTGAAGCTCCACAAGAGTCTCTTCAAAGATGACACGCCACTGGCCAAGCAAGTGAAAACAGAGATAGACAAATGGGACTATTTTAAACTAAAAAGCTTCTGCACCTCAAAAGAAACAGTGACCAAAATACAGAGACAGTCTACAGAATAGAAAAGGATATTGCCCAATACCCATCCGACAAGGGGTTGATAGCAAGGATATACAAAGTACTGGTTGAACTCCACAAGAAGAAAACATCCAACCCCATCAAAAAATGGCCATATGGAGTGACAAAATGAACAGAAACTTTCTCAAAGAAGAAATCTGAATGGCAAAAAGGTGCATGATAAAATGCTCTACATCATTAATCATCAGAAAGATGCAAATCAAAACAACAATGAGATGGCATCTCACACCACAGAGACTGGCCCACTTCCAAAAGAACAAAAGCAACCGGTGTTGGCGCAGATGTGGCGAGAAAGGGACCCTCCTTCACTGCTGGTGGGAATGCCGACTGGTTCAGCCCTTTTGGGAAACAGTATGGACGATTCTCAAAAAATTAGAAATTGAGCTCCCATTTGACCCAGCAATACCACTCCTGGGAGTAAATTTCGGAGAGGCAAAAAAGTACAGTAGAAATGACATATGCAGTTTTATGTTCATTGCTGCACTGTTCACAATAGCCAAAATCTGGAAAAAACCTGAGTGCCCAAGAACAGATGACTGGTTAAAGAAACTTTAGTACATCTACACAATGGATTACTATGAAGCTGTTAGAAAAGATAAAGTCATGAAATTTACATACATGTGGTACTACATGGAAAGTGTCATGCTAAGTGAAATGAGTCAGAAAGAGAGGGACAGATATAGAAATATTGCATTCATCTGGGGAATATAAAGTAACAAAATAGGAGACTAACCCTCAAGAATAGCCGAGATAAGTACCAGGAGGTTCACTCCATGGCTTGGAGGCCAGCCGCACATGCTGGGAGAAAAGGCAGCTCAGATAGAGAAGGGAGTACCAAGTAAAGGGTGTTGGGACGATCCTCTCAAGATGGGAGATGCATGCTGAAAGTAGACTATAGACTGAACATAATCGCCACTCAATGCCTCTTTTGCAGACCACAGCACCTAAAAGGAGAGAGAGAACAAAAGGGAATGCCCTGCCACAAAGGCAGGGTGGGATGGGGGGGATAGGGGGATGGGAGGGATACTGGGACAATTGGTGGTGGAGAATGGGCACTGGTGGAGAGATGGGTACTCAATCATTGTATAACTGAAACCCAAGCACAAAAATTTGTAAGTCTGCACTTGTACCTCATGGTGTTTCACTAATAAATTTTTTTTAAAAATTAAAAAGTAAAATGAAGAACTAACCTATGAAGAATGTGGGGGGGGAAGGAATCTTTGAAGTGGAGCTAGCTTTTAAGCTAGTTGTAGAACTGACAACACATTTATTGGATCAAACCACTTTTGATCCTTTTGATGTGGATGCCTCGGCAGCAAAGCTTAATTTGGACACATGTATTAAAACAAAAATCAAAATTAACTCTCAAGGTTTATAACAATATCTTGTTGGGTTTTTTAATCTTAACATTTTTTATTGCAGTAATGAGGTTTGCAATGGTGTTAGTGTTTAAACTTTTGATGGATAAAATTCCTGCCTCTGCACCACCATCAAAGTGCCTAGAAACCTCCACCTTCCTTCCATCACTTCTACTCTGCCCACCACTCTCCACCCACACAAACTGCCTTGGTAACCTCACTCTAATAGCCAGAAATCAAGGATTTGTTATCCTTAGATACCTTCCATTCCATTGTTTGGTTTCTTCACAGATCATATACGACTGGGTCACCCTGTATTTGTATTATTCCCGATGATTTATTTCACTTAA